GCCAACCTCCTGAAGGGGCATAGAACATAGAAGAAAAACCAAACAGATACAAATAGATTCATGAGAAAGAAGTGCTGCCCACTTTATGCTGAGAACAATTTATTACAACCTCCTCCACAGTTGCTATACAACTGGTAGCTCATAGAACTAAAAGAATAAATATCACATTCAAAAAAAGTTCTTTAATTCAAGAGGTTCAATTAAAAAAAAAAAAAAGAGATTTTGTTCAGTCACCATAAGCTTTCATTCATTATAACAAACTACCAACTCTAAGTTTTGTTTAAAAATCTCAACTCCTTTTACATGGATTATACACATGAGGAAGGCTGTAGAATGGATGGGCCAGAATATTATGGTAACAACATCAACAATAAAAAGAAAGCAGATAGCTAAATAAATCTTGAAAAAATAATGCCACCTCTCAAAATTACATCTCCCATACTATTTATATAACTGAAGAAGACTGTAGAAAGGCTGGGACAAAACATCAAAGAGATAAAATAGTTGGCAGAACACGAATTGGGAGAGATAGCAAAAAGACAAAATTTACTAACAGTTACAAAGGACAGGAAATTGTGGAGAGCCATGATCAGCTAAAAAGACACACACATAAAAGAAGGGATAGGTTAATTTAATTTTAATTGTACTAACTTTTTTTTGTTTCTATGCATTTTAAAGTGAATACACAAGAAAAACATGTCTTGAATAAATTTTTCCCTGCCTATTTTTCATTTGCAGTTGGCTGAATCCACAGATCTCCGTATCAAAGATATAAAATACTTACTGTATATGAGCATGCAGGGAGTAAAAAAAACATGACAAATTGTTTTTGACTTACGTTTAAGTCCATGCCTCAACACATGTTCAAGGACAACAAAAAATTGTTGCAAAGGAACATGGTCATCATCCAGCATTCGGCCATGGGACAAGGAGGAGTCAATGAGTTCTTTGATGATTAATTTGGACACATTGAGCAAATTAGCTCGTTCAATGGTCTGTGGATCACGTCCTGAAAGAAAGAAAAAAAAAAAAAAGAAATGTCATTTTTTTTTAAAAAAAAACACTTATTTTGTAAAATATTTACACTTGGTTTCTGTTTAAATTTCTGAGATGATAAATTATCATTATTAGACACTAATTCATACACAGTGTTGTCCTTTTCTTGGTTGTTATAGTCACAATATTTTTACTATTTCTGAGTACTTTTTTCCAAGTATACAATGACCGTCCCAGGGACTGAACCCACAATTACTGTCACCAAATTTACAAACCAATCCTTTAATCCACTTAGCGATTGTCCCATAGGACATTTCTTTGTGTGTAACATGAAGCCTTAAACCTAACCTACCTGCTGATGAGTGCTGTTGCTACTTGTCATGCTTCACTGAAGATTTTTCTCTTTTGATTACAACTACTGCTCCTGTTGAAGATTTTCTTAAACTCAGTGGGAACAGGGCAAGAAATAACTGAGAAATACTAAAAAATAAGAACTAGCCAAGATATCTCTAGATATGCGCAATAGAACAAGAACAGTCTACCCCTGTAGTTTAAATAAAGGGTTCTGTTTGGAATTCTCTGTAGGTTACTTGGATTGACATTTTTATTTTTATTTTTTTAAATTAAAAATTTTGAAAAGTAAAATAAAACAGTAAAATGAAAAATTAAAGAAAAGTAAAACAGAAAATGTAAAAAAAACGTAAAATAAAAAATGTAAAAAAAAAAAAAAACGTAAAATAAATGTTAAAAAAAAACCTCAAAACCACAACTGTCTTGAAGATAATTGAAAAATAAATTTAAAAAAAAAAAAGCAAAAAAACCTAAGAATTCTATCCATAAATAACAGTGTGATGCCATCCGATTCTAATTGCTGAATGAATCAGATTTCACTGGAAACCTTCCATTACAAACAATTACAGAAAGTATTTTTAACAAGGCATCCCCCACCAAATACTGCCAGCGACGGAGGGCATTGATGGTCATCATAGCTAATATGCACAACACTTAAAAGAAAAACAAGAAAACTGTCTGTATTCCTGAGATATATCTTGGTTCCTGGAACTGCCTGAGGATCATTTTGCATTAGAAACTCATAGTAAAATTTTGTCTCTTTAGCCTTGGAATGTGTTTCCACTTTTTTCTGTCTATTATGTAACATCATCGAAGAATTTCTATTCATGCAAGTTCACTCTGACCGAGTGCCAAGTTACATCAAGGTCACACCACCGGTTCTTCAGCTATTTAAAATTTTCAAATACTTTCTGAACAGATCTCAACTTAGTTTGGCACAAGACAATAAGTAGGACACTTAGTGAGGATTAAACCCACAACAGACTAATAGTCTGAGAGATAAGCTTCCCGAACAAGACTCCATGGTGTAAGGCCTTCAAACTTGTCATTTTCTCTGTATTTGTTTTTTTTTTACGGAAAGATGTACATTTCTGTTCATGTCAACAGTATAGTCATACAATGTAAGGTTATCCAAGCCTGGAAACAGTGAAGAGAAAGCAAGTCTCTTTGGATTTTATTCTAAAAATGAGTCATCAAGCTGAGACAGGACAGAATACTCAAATCAAAGCAATATAAATTCTACCATTACAAAGTGACTTGATATCAAACTTAATAGTGCCAACAATGTCTCTTAAGAAAGTTTGTTACGTCATGTCACAAGTCCTGGTAATCCATTGTCATAGGAGCACTACATGTGCTGCAGCTGTAGAAATAATGGTGTGTCTAGGGCAAGATAGCCTGACAGAGCACATTCCTCTACAGTCTGGTTTTGAATTCAGAGCTTTCCTTCAGATTCAGTGCCAGTCAAGGCAAGAAAGCCTAGTATACCCTGTTATTTAACATATATCTGGAGAAAGAAATATCCATGCCTTTTCCAAGGCTGTTAATGCAAAATTAACAAAATAGAATCAATTGGAATTTGAACCCAGATTGCTGATTTTACTTTCTGTGTGGTTAACCACTGCAATATCCTTACAATCTTAAGCAAGTTCACTCAACTATAATTGAAAAGTAGGAATGGCAACTTTAGCACAAAAAAAAAAAAAAGCAAACAAACCTTAAACAAAAAATCTATTAAAAGAAAAATAAATTTAAAAAGTATAGATAAAAAGGCACAAATTAAAAAGAAAAAAAGAAAATCAATTTTAATTCTGTTCAGATTCAAAACCTGGTTTTCATTGGTTGAATTGTACATCCTAAATTTTGATGATAACAATTTCAACAAATCAAATTCAAGCAAACATGCATAAATTATACAAAGAATGTAGCGGCTATGAGGTGGGGGGAATCAAAGAAAAAATGCAAGCATTATGTAACTTCATTTCTCTCTGCTTTTTCTACAGTATTTTCCTTTCTTTTTTTTTTCCTTACTAAATCTTATTCTTTTTAAACAAAAACCCAACTGAAAACTAATTGGAAACTATATTGATTACCAAATGATAAAGTCAGTGTTGCCTTTGTTAAAAGACTCAAGAAGCCTAAGAGAGTATTTCTAAAGTTTATTTAACATAGACAACTTTACAAATAAAGAGAAAAGAGAATAAAACGTATTTGTTGCCTACCTCATGGTTGAGGTGGTTGGTATTGGAGCCCAGGTAAAAATAAAAATAGAATTTTGAGTGCTGTATTTTCTTTTTACATTGATGTTCACTTCCAGTTGGGTTCATTATATATATTGAAAAAAGTATGAATCCACCTCTTCTCCCCCAACCTATGGGTTAATTAGTAAAACATATATCAGTAAATCATTATTATCTTCAAAAAATTCTTACAATCTGAATATATCATCCAGCTTTAAATAACTTGAAAAATGTAGATAAGCCATAAAAAACAAATCAATAAATCTTGATTGCTACAATCTTAACCTTTTCAAGCCTAGGGTCAACCCCTATCTTTCATACATATCCTCATAATCTACTTTTCTTACCTCCTTCTCTTACATTCTTACAACAACCATATTCAATAACGCTACCTTAAGTGGCTCTTGGACCATTACAGCTATGATTTGCCATGCCTCATACCCAGGGGCAGCTCATCCTCACTCCTTTCGTATTCTATTGGTAAGAAGGAAGTTTCACTGAAACAACTTCTTCCTGAGAACTGCTATTTTGTGGAACAGACTCCCGAGGGAATGCTTCCTGATCACTACAATCTTAACCTCTTCAAGTCTAGATTCAACCATTATATATATATATATATATATATATATATATATATATATATATATCTACCTTCATAATCTGCAGTTACTTACTCCTCTTACAACCATAGATCAACATCTTTCAGTAAGTCTCTACCTTGAGTGGCTCTTGGACCTTGTCTTGGGTGTGCAATTAGATCCATATGAAGACAGTTTGCTCCCAGTATAAATTCTGGATTATTCTAACAGCAAAGTGCTAGTTGAAAAAATTTTAAAATCTTATTGGGCAACAGATACAGAAACACATCTAAATTCAAATTATGATGAAAGTTCACTATTTACATTATTCAGACTATTGTCCTCATCTTTGTCACCATATTTATTACAACGTTTCGGCCGTTGTACGCTCCAGCCTTCTTCAGGTGGTTGGAATGTCGAACTGAACCCTTTAGGGTAGACTGTTCTAGTTCCACGTGCCATGTTTAATAGATGTCAGTTATCAGTTATCTCCTGTTAATTTCCCTCTGAAAGTTCTCCACTGCCTTAACTGGGTATTGAACTCACACTCTTTGGGTCCTGTCACTGGATCTAACTAATGCCTTTATCCACTGTGCCATGTGTCCTCAAGATAAAAGGGATAAAGGCTCTCTAAATTTTTAATTTTGAACCACTATCCATTGCACCACCTCCACCTCCATTGCCAGGATGACAGATGACGCAATGAACAGAATGTGTGTTTAGACAGAAGACAGAAAATAAAAAAAATGTAAAAAAAATATTAAAGAAAGCTGAAAATTATTTGCCCCCTGATGATTTGGTGCTTCCGGCATTTTAAGATAATTAGTCTGTTTGGATGGACATGGGCAGGTCAGAGGGAAAAAGAGATGGAGGACATGGAAAGGCGGGACCTTGTCTGGGTCAAATCCTGACCCCAAGTGTAACAACTGATTCCCAGAAAAATTATTCCCACCTAACATTTTTTTTTTTTTTTTTATTGCCACCATTTTTATTTCCATCAAACTTACACAACTGATAATTTTCTGTTGTCTTTTGCTTTTTCTCTTGAGTTTTAATGACATTTTTTTTCTGGACTTTTTTTTCCCCATCTGCATTTAGTTTTAGGGGCGGGCACATACATCTCCCATCACTGCTTTCACTTTTCCTCCCCCCCCCCCATCACTCATCCTTCTACTTTCACCTTTACCCTTATCTATTCCCCACAACCAAAAATCCCCTACTGCTTTTACCTCCTCCTTTTTCTATTCACAAACCTTGTCCTCCTCTGCTGATATCTCTTTCTCCTCCTCCTTTTTGTTAACCTTTAACCCTTTTCCCTATCTTTTTATTAATCTTCTTTTTCTCGTTACTCTATTTATTTATGCCTTCCTTTTCTCTTTTAAATATATCTCTTTTTTATCTTTCTCTCCTCATTTCGCAAATACAGAATTCTCTCTCTCTCTTTACCATTACCCCCCACTCATATTTCCTTCTCTTTCTTCAACCTATTCAATCTTTCTTTTCCTTCTCTTTACTGTTATAATTAAGACAATTTTTAGTAGAAACTACTGTCACTGATAGACTTTTGTATCATCTTTTATATGCTGTGTCTCTTCAAGATGTGGGTGATCATGACTCTCCACATCTTATCTTTTATTGCTCTTAATAACTTCTGACTATTTACCATATATATTTGTTCTTGTTCTACTAGTTATTCACTCAGACTCATTAAATAGATGATTTGCTGTTTCTTCCACAATAATCGTCTTGTATGTGTTATATTCTCTAGGCCTTCCTTCCTAATTATTGTCCCAGAAGTCTCATTCTCATTGGAAATCTATCTTTCCTTGTTATTCCTATTTTCTGTAAAACTTTCTTGTTGCTCACATGATGTTCTCACTACGGTTGGTTGATTGATTGTTTTTTATGACTTATCAACCCATTATGGGTTATTTAAAGCAAAAACATATTTTGGCTCTTAAAATTTTTTTTTTTGCATGCAAAAGAATTTTTTTTAAGAATAATGATTTTTCCAGATACAAGTACTATTTATTTAACCCATAGTTGAGGGGATGAAATAGATTCACACCTTCCTTAAAGGTATTTGTTCATAAGTGAATCTAACAAACCTGACTGGAAATTGAATTTGGCTCTAATTTTTCATTCTGAGCTGTTAACCATTACATGACCCACCTCTCCTCATGATATTCTTAGCATTTGTCAGTAGAACAACATCTCTGTCACTTCAAGCCTCTTCATCTGTGAGAAAATGATCCAGCATTCACTGTCATATAGGAGATTAGATGTTGTATAACAGTTCAGCACTCTTTTCTTTGTTTCTAACAACATTTTCCTATCTCTTAATACTTTGCTTAGTTTATGAAAGGAATGAGGAGATTGTTCAACATTCACTGCCATATCAATGATTTGATATTACATAGCAATTCAGCACTTTTGTTTCGAACAATATTTTCTTATCTCTTAATACTTTGCTTAGTTTTTGGAAGACATCTTTCCCAAATCCTATTCACCTTCAGATTTATATATCACCTTTTTCATTGAATTTCTGTACTGGCTTGATTTTGACGTCCTTAATATGTCACCCAAACCTCAAGCTGTCTCTCTTATTGACAACGACGCATACTACTTTCTTACAGTCAATAATTAGTCCTTTCTTCTTGATTTCCAATAGCTATCTTATTCAAAATGTCTTTCTGATGTCCTTCCAAATCTACCCTCAACACACACAGTCTCAGCTGCATATCTTATGCTAAGATTATGTCCATCAATAATAAATCCCATTATATGTTCTAGTTTTCTTCTGAACATCTCACTGTATAGATTAAGTAAATCTGGTGAGAAAATGTATTTGTCTTATTCCTCCATTTTCACGTATACACTGAACTCATGTGCAGCCTGTTCTTTCTTGATAGAGTTACAGATTATTCAAATGTCCATATAAATCAAACTTATCTGATAGCTCTTTGTGTTATACCTTATCTGTAATCTATGCAACATAGGCTTTCTATGTTTGTATTGTTCACTCTGATAGCAGCTTGATTATAAAAATTGCATTTCTTGTTCTAGTGTCTTGAACAAAGCCATGCTGTTCTTACCCTATTTCTGCTGCAATTCTGCTTATAAATTTAGTTATGTGGCTCATTAAGCCAAACATCTGATGGAGTTTACAGTCTCACAGCTACAACCACTAATAATGGTATTTCTTAAAATAATCTCTACCATATCTTCTCTTGATATCAATTGACAGTTTTAACAGCATTACAGCAATTTCTTCTCTTATCTTCAGGACATGGGCAATCATGGCTCTCTACAACTTCCTATTCTTTGCATTTCAAAGTAAAGACGATAATGTACTTAAATATCAAGCTTTTCTGATATTTCAAGTAGCTCTTTGCGTTGTACCTTATCAAATGTTTTGTGTAATGGTGATTTTCTAAGTGTAGATTAGATGCTGTACAAGGCTGGAAGTATGGGGAACCCAGTGAGGATCTAACTCACTACTCAGTCATAATTGATCTAGCAAGGCAAGCTTGCTAATCATTACACCACATTGAAGTGCCCAAATGTTTTGTGTAATGTATGAAACATAGGTATAGCTCTTTTAACATTTTTATTGGTTGCTCTGGTAGCATTCTGATAATAAAGATGGCGTCTCTCCACAACTTTCTATTCTTTGCAATTCACAGTGAAATCTATGCTTTACTTGAATATCGTTCACATGTAAATCAAGTTTTTCTGGTATTTCAAGTAGTTCTTTGTGCTCTACTTCATCAAATGCTTTTGTGTAATCTATCAAACATCAATATAGTTCTTTATGTATTTTATTGCTTGCTCTGATAACATTCTTATATTAAAGATAGCATTTCTTGTTCTGTTGTCTTTATGTATTTTATTGCTTGCTCTGATAACATTCTTATATTAAAGATAGCATTTCTTGTTCCGCTGTCTTGAACAAAGCCACACTATCCTTGCTCTATTTCTATGTTAGTTCTGCTATGAGCTCTATTCATTGGTTAAGTTAAAAATAAGAGTATCTGCTAGTATGTAAAATTGTATTTACTGATTAGTTTTATTTTTTTTTTCACAATGATGTTCACCCTGCACAAGACCCGAGAGCCACTCAAAGTAATGGGTTATAGAGTAAGAGGCACAGCTTATGCGGATATGTGTGGGGTTTCATTTTGTTTAGAAGCATATCAACGTCTATGGGTTATTTAATGCCGAAATCTGAATATTTTTAACACAATTTTAGGCCTCAACAACAGATAAAATGTATTGTTGGTCATTTTGCTATTAAATGTATTGTTAGTATTTTTACTATAAATATGTATTTTTAAACTTTCAGAGTGTTTTGTTTTTGTTCAGGTGGTTCACTATTTGCCCATAGTTGGACCCTAACAGGTGCTACCACCCTAGGTCAGGGTGGACCTGGGAACAACAGCAATTAAAAAGTGGTTCCATGCTCCTCAAAACCTTCAATTTTCCAATCAGAGGCCTTGCTACCAGATGTAATTTATCGACTTAACCAGAACTAGCAATTAAGAGGTTGCTCCTGAAAACCTCCAATCTATTGATCAGATGTCTTGCTGCCAGATGTAGTTTATTGTTATAAACAGGACTAGATGCATGTGGAAGATAACAGTTGACCCTAGATTCGAACAGATTAAAATTGTAGTGATCACGGATTCTGTTGATACACTAAGATTTTAAACTCTTTCCACAGACAAAGTCAGTTTTTTGGTGGATTTTTTTTTCTTTTTCGCTAATTCTAGTCATTTACTAAATACATTAACAGAAAATTAACAATTTTCCAGAACTCTTAATTCCAGAATTGTACTAGATTATCTGCTTTGCCAGACCAAATGTGGTCACATCACAATAATTCTTTCTCTCCCCACCCCCAGATATTGTAACCATTTTGCTTAAAGTTGTATTTTCTTGATTTCAGATGAAAATTGGATGAGTTCTCATTGTTTACATGGGGACTATTATCCTTATCTTTGTTGACCTCTAACCTTCATTTTCTGACATTTCACTTTCCAAAATTATACTTTACTAGTTTTAACCAATTAACATTTCAATTTTCCTATTTTAAATTTCTGATGAATCTTAATTCTTAAATTAATGATTGAGTAAGATCATGGCAAGTTCTACGACAATAAAATATCAGCAGGAATTCCTTTAATGCATCATTACATATTTGAGTTTTGTTACGAGGATGCATTTCTATAATAAGGGATTCCACTGAGTTCTACTTGTTATTACAAAAAAGTTTTCATTCATGAAGTAGTTGCAAAATAGAGAAATTAAAAATAGAATGTTTGGAAGATTCTAGATCATTCTAGTATATTCGAGAAAAATCTAGAGGATTCGAGAAACATCTAGAAATATGCAAATTAGGTGTTAGCCCCTATAAAAATGGGATTTTGGAGAAGGGTTGTCAGTTGGTGAAAGGAAATTGTTGCCTGTATCAACTGCGGCTTTTTGATTCAAGGATTATTATATCCAGCCGAAAGAATCTCTATAAAAAGTTGCCGACCAACCAAAACCCAAAAGAGAATTTCATGGAACAAATTTGGTAAATAGAATTTTGACTAATTTTCATTGACCAAACAAAAAATTAATATTTATTTACACACCTTTGTGGATTTCCAAATATAGCACTTAGATTACTTCACTAGCCCTAAAAAAGTGATAAAGATATTTGATTCCCTTTTCCTTCTTCCTCAATAACACTCCGCCGGTAACTCTGTGTTTTCTGTTTTTGTAGGCCACAATTGTTTATCCTGTATATATTTTATGTTCTGTTTTAGTAAATTAAATATTTGTTTGTGATTTAGCTCTGTGTTGTGGTAAATCATTTTTTTCCTTTGTTACAATTATCAACACGTAACAAGTTTAAAAACTTTAACAAAATATTGCAATAACAACTATAAACATGAATGCTGTTATTTTAAGAAGTGGGTACAAATGAAAAGATCTGAAATTGACAACTTTTTCCATTTCACTGAAACAACTGTTAAACATTGTAATCTTGCCTTCCTTCTTTCTTTCTTTGATTCATTCATTTTCTCACTGAAACCAAGCAGTATCATTTTTTTATCTCTATCCATGTGATCAAAAATAGTTCATTATTTATGAGGTATTGGCAGAAGTTAAGCACTTTTATTTTCCCTTATTTCTTTCTTTCTAGCCAAATCTCTGTCTTACAAACATTTCTCTTAATAATAATTTAAAAATAATCCAGCAGACAATATTATTTTATTTATGGTAACTGGATTTTTGGCGATTAATTTGCTCAGTATCTGTCGTTCGATACTATGTGTCTGAAAAAAATGGTTACCACTGCATCTCAGCCTAGGGCTAAGATCAAAGTGTAGTATCTGTTTTTATCAGCCTAATCCGATACTCTCTCTCCACTTCTATCTTCCCTTCTTGCTTTCATTTTTTTCAGTGAAACCAAATATTGTCTCCCCTTCTCTTTCCATGTAATCAAAACAGAATAGTCAATTATTTATGAGGCATTGGCAGGACGTAATGATCGTGCAAACTAATGA